CTTCTTTTATCATTTTACAAAATATCATTGCATATTTCCACATATTTCATAATATTTCCACAATGTCTCTAATTTTTACAATATTTCCCCTCGACATTTCCGACATATGTCCTATATTTTGGTAAGCGACATTTCCATCGACATCGACATTTTAAACCTTGCTTTTAGGTTGAATGGTTCTTTGACATGGTATCAGAGCCACTTCGACCAAGTGGTCTAGTGTTCAATCCTCCTCGCCCCCATTATAATTAATTAAGTTTCAGCACAAGGTATGGGTGGGCCTGTGCTTGTTCACCCTTCAAGCCCGATAGGCTTTCGTGTGAGGGGATGTGTTAGAGAATATCAACCTATTCAAGGACCTCACCTAACAGCTTAAGCTTTTAGGTTGAATGGTTCTTTGACAGATCCTTTAGAGGGTAAGAACCAACCCAAACATCCTCCCAAATTTTGATAAAATCCCATGAACAAGCATCATACCTAATGAACTAGAGGACAGTGGACAGAATACCATGAATTGCCTTCCATGGAGATGATAAGGTAGCCCAGTTAGAAACACCAGCATCCCAGCCATTCCCCAACCTACCATGTATATTGGCTATTACTTTATGCCAAAGTCTATCCCGTTCCCGTTGCCATCTCCATAACCACTTTCCTAGCAATGCCACGTTCTTTTTATCCACATTCCCAACTCCCAAGCCTCCTTCTAAGTTTCTGCTCACAGTCTCCAAAAAACCAAGTGGTCTTTTTTGCCCTCTCCCGACTCCCACAAGAAGTCCCTCATCAGTTTCTCAATCTTCTTTATCTCCTTTTTAGGGATCCTAAAGCCTGACAAGTAGTAGATTTGTAGATTAGCAAGTGTGGACTAAATCAAAGTAATCCTATCCCAAGTGAGATATAATTTCTTTCCAAGTTACTAGTCTCTTGGCACACCTTTCAATGATTGGACTCCAAAATCTACTCTCTCGGGTTTGCACCTAGGGAAGCCCTAAGTAAGTTAGAGGCCAACTAGATATGGAACATTCTAGGACATTTTTGACAACAATAAGGTCCCCTCTTCCATGTTAAGTCCCAAATACAACTCTTCTCAAGATTAATTTTAAGATTGGAGACAAGTTCAAATTTTCTCACAAAAGCTTTCAGATTCCTCGCCAAAAGTTGTTCTACCCCCTCATAGAAAATTAAAATATCATCTGGAAACTGTAAGTGAGTAATTAGTAAGCTATCCTTTCCAACCTTTCATCTATTAATTTCATTCTCCCTTTCAGCCTTATAAATTATTCTACTTAAAACATCCACTTCAAGGGTGAAAAGAAAAGGTGCAAGGGGGTCTCCCTGACTCAAACCTCTACAAGTTGGGAAGAAGTCTCTCACAAACCCATTGACCAGAATCAAATAATGAGTTAATCACAAGACTTAACACATCTAAAAATTCAATTACACTATTTCTCCACAAATCCACATGATTTCATTACCTCAATTAAGAACGTCCAATCCACTAGATCATAAGCTTTCTCGAGGTCCAGCTTACATACAAAGCCTTTTTTCCTTGATCTTTTCATTTCTTCCACGCATTCATTCACGGTGATGATTTGGTTAACTATTTGTCTCCCCTTTACAAAAGCCCCTTTTTGCTAGTTGATTAAGGTTGGGAGAACTATTTTTAGCCTCACAAAGGGGACCTTACCAATAATCTTATACAAGTTGGTCGCTAGGCTGATCGGTCTAAAGTCCTTTGGATGGCAAGCATCAGGATTCTTTGGGACAAGAGTTAGAAAGGTAGCATTTATCCCTGAACTAATGAAGCCCCTTTCCACAAATTCATTGAACACCTCAACTAGATCATGTTTCACAATTTCCCAACAATCCTAACAGAAGGCCATACCGCCATAGTGAAATTGTCTGGCCCGGAGGCTTTGGATTTGTTCATTGAGAAGATTGCCTTTCTTATCTCCTCTTCTTCAAAATTCCTTCCCAACCAGTAGACTTCTTCAGATTGCAAGCAAGCCCATTCAAGATCCTCCATTACAATTTTTTCATTTAGGGGTCTTCTAAATATGGACTTAAAGTGGTCTACAAATCTCCTATCGCACTTTGATTAATTATCTCCTGCCCTTCTACCTCCATTTTAGCCACATAATTCTTTCTCCTTCTCCCATTTTCCAAAGCATGAAAATATTTTGTGTTGCCATCCCCTTCTTTTAACCACTTTCACCTAGATTTCTATCTCCAGCTGATCCCTTAGTAAGGTTTCTTCCAATTCTCTCTTTAATCCCATATGCTTCGTTACACCTTTCCAAATCACACCTCCCAAGTCCTACTTCCACCAAGTTTCTACTTTCCTTACAAAGTCTAGGTGAGTAAGCCACATGTTTTCAAACCTAAAAGGGGTGGGACCACTTAGAAAGGTTTCAGGACTTAGTTTGATAGGGAAGTGGTTTAAGGTGACTCTAGGTAAAGTTCTTGATACTAGGTTCTCCTCATAGTTTTCCCACTCTTCATTAAACAAAAACCTATCCAGTTTGGAGCAATGGGAAACTTCTAGAAAATTGGACCAAGTGAATCTAGCTTGCAAGAGAGGGATTTCCTTCAGCTCACATGAATCTGTGAAGTCATTGAACCTCCTCATACTGGAGATTACTTGTTGGTTTAGTTGGAGTTGTAATTCTTTCACATCTAAAACAAATAGCAATATATCCATTATATTCTTTTATGACCTCTCAAGGAAGGATATGTTAAAAAGCTTTTATTCCATACTTTGAATATAATAAAAATGAGACAGATGAATCACATGAATCAAAACAAAATAACATCAATCTAAAGTAAATGCTTCCTGAATAATGTCAACAAGTATCACTGAGCAATATGAATTGTATTACAGTTGTATATAAATATTTTTCAACCATAATCATGTTTTTTAGCTGTAAAATGAACTTATGGGAAGAATATCATAAAACATTTTAACTTACCCTTGCATTTACATTCAAGTACACAAAACAAAAAAGCATCAATGCTCTGCGCCTTGCCTGGCTTTGATTGATCCCATCAATTAGCTTTTCAGAAAATGGTGCTACAGAGATGACATAAAGCAACTGAACTTATCAGAACATAAAGACAAAGCACATTGCTCCCATAGGTAAACAGAATTGCTACATTGCAAAGGATATAGAACTATTGTTAATATCAGAAAAAAAATTGCTTGTGGTGGTCAGTGTCTTACATAATGTATCTGCTTTAGATGCATCAATATCCTCCAAATCCACCTCATGAGTGCCTCCATTACCATCTATATAGGTGCATGATCTGTATGTGAGATATCTTGGCAATTTTAGAATTATGTATCTCTATGCATAATGCAATCTTCTCTCCAGCATATATTCAGACTGTAGTCTCACTCATAAATTACATGTATAGTGTTATATATTAAAAATCTTTGGAAATTCCATCTAGCCCATAAAAAGGATAATACCATGGAGATGCACTAGGGCTGCAATATTGTGGCCCATTTGGGAGGAAAGAAATGGAAGGCGGTTTAGGGATAAGGTACAAGATAGAAGAGTTATCATTTGATATCATCATTTTGAAAGTGGCTCATTGGGTTAAAAGTTTAGAACCATGCGATTATTCAGCACTTTCTCCACCGATGACATTGTTAGAAACTGGCAGCTGATCGCAAATTCATCCATTAACAGGGTTGCTACTCACCCTCTATGGGATTCCCTACACCTTGTTCAACTTAACTTTGATGGATGCAGCAAGGATAACCCAGGCCCTGCTGCAATTGGGAGTCTTTAGAAGCAGTGATGGAGACTTTTTAACTCTCTTTTCAGGTCTAGCAGGCCAAGGAAATACAATCAGAGCTGAAATACTAGCAGTTCTTCAGGGATTGAGATTGGCAAAGAGAAGAAACTATACAAACATCAATGTAGAAGGGGATTCAAAATTGGCTGTGGGTGGGTTCAAAATGAAGAAAGCTGTCCTTTGCAAATATAAACACTTACTGAGAGAAATAAAGGAACTCAAAATGAAGAAAGCCCTCAGGAGGAAGACTCCAGAATCCAGGGTTGGCACAATTCAGGCTCATTTTCAGTTCAATCTTTTTATAAAGGGCTAGCAAGTGGCAGTAGTTTCTCTTTCCCTTACAGGGCGGACAGTGTGGTTTGGAAAAACTTTGCTCCTTTGAAGGTTAATTTTTTATGGTTAACTGCTCTGAGAAAGTGTTCAACTAAGGTGAACCTATCTAGGAAAGGCGTTGCTCCAGATGGCGTCTTATGTCCCCTGTGACTGGCACTGCGTGCAATGGCATGGAAGCTTCAACCACCTATTTCTGCATTGCAACTTCACTAGCAGATTGTGGCAGCATTTCTTGGGTAGTATTCGTCTACAATGGTGTCAACCACAATCTATAATCAAGTTGCTCAATAGTTAGAGTGCGAATGGGATGAGCAGAAAGGGCAAACTCTGTTAGTCTGTGATCGTGTTTGCTATCTGTCATCTGGGCTGTTTGGCTTGAAAGGAACAGTAGAGAATCTGGCTCTCCACTGTTCCCTTTAAAATCTCCCTTATTTAGGAGGCTGCCTGTGGAAAATTAAATACCTGTAATATCCTCCAGAAGAAGTTCGGAAGACTCAGCATCTCTCCCAAATTTTGTATCTTATACCTGATTGACGGGGAATCCTTAGGTCATATTATTAATTATCAGGTAGCTAGAAACTTGTGGGAATTGCAGCTGGACCCCCCCCCCTCCCAAACAATGCCAAGAACTTTTTATCTCAATGGCATGGCCTAAAGTTCAAGCTGGGAGGTAGAGGCAGAATTTTTTTGGAAGGTTATATTCCCCATGCAGTCATGTGGGGTTTATGGGAAGAATGTAATAGGAGAATCTTTAAAGACAGAATCTCTCCCAAAGAGCCAATTAGAGATCGTTGCCATTCTTTGCTTATCCTGTGGATGATGTACATCAAGCTCTTTGCAAATCTCAATAAAGGAGAAGTGCAGAGAAACTGGCTTGAACTGCTCCTCACGTCTCCAACCATCCAAAGACCTCTCACCTCGTTGTCACCAAGGAAAGACTGATTTCATTCTGAATTTCAATAGAAGTTTTAGAAGAGTCCTAGATGCCCCTGTGGCTGCAGGAATTGGGGGCCTTTTGAGAAAGATTCAATAGTGATCTATTTTGGGTTTATAGTGGCCCAACCTCCTCTACAGATGCAACAGGTCTGAGGTTTGTGCCCTTTGGAAGGTCTTAGAATTGCAAAAGTCCAGCAGATCACTTCTCTGGCCATAGAAGGGAACTCAAGAAATGTCAGAGAGTGGCTTTCTACTCATGGTCCAGGGCCTCCAGGCCCTTGGAAGCTTACTCATTTTTAATCTCTAATATAAACTGCAGCTTTAGATGGATTCCTGGAAGCTTAAATCAGTTGGCAGATGGCCTAGTGAAATCAGGGATGGGAAGGGATTCCTTGTGCAGTGCAAGCACAATGACTTTATGTGCTGGCTTTTTTCTTTCTTTTTTTTTTCAAGGCCCGTCGTACATCTTCACATGTGCATCCCCTCCTTTTGATTAATGAAACCGGTTGCCCTTCTCTTCAAAAAGGAACAGTAGAGTGTTTCAATCCAAAGACCATCCTGTTGAGCCTGTTATTACCTTATCTTTTGACTTCATTAGAATTTAGTTGAATTGTAATAGTTTTTTTTAGAGTAATTCCAGCCCTTTTTTCTTGGCTGTGATTTTTTTTTGGGGTGGGGGGGTCTTAGGTGCCCTGTGGATTGATGTACAGAATTTCATTATACAGAGGGCTATAAATAACTAATAACTTTTTTGGGTAAGAATACAATACTTCATATTACTAACCAAAAAGTTTTACCTAGTCTTTTTTTTTATGAATAAAAAGTTTCACCTAGTCCACAAAAGCAAATAACAATAGATATTGCCGTTGATTGATTCTGTGGTATTGCCAAAGAGAAATTTAACAGAGATGATTCAGGACTGAATTACAGTTTCCTACCTTACATTGAACTTATAAACCATGTAGGGTTCACCTCCATCTAGTACTTCCAGAAGATTTTCACTTCGACTTTTAGAACTTATACTGGAAGAACTCAGTACACCAGAAACTGCATAACTGGCATGTCTAACTACTTCTAGTTCTGACAATATTGTCTTTCTTAGGCTTTCTGTGGCTAACTCAACCTGTGACAGAAACAAAACTGAATAAATCAAGGGCATCTAAAATCATTAATAGCATGTTTTTTTATAGTTAACAGTAAGTATATCCATTGACAATAAAGAGGATTAATAACATTTTCCAAAAAAAAAAAGTTCTTACCAACCTTTTTAAAAGCAACCATGAAGTTAATATAGTAATGTGATGCATATGACTCAACAATAAAACAGGTCAGCAAATGCCGTGGCTGATGCTATGGCTAAGCAAGGGGTTAACAGAAGGTAAATGTTCTAGGGACCAGTAGGGTTTCCCTGATGTACTAGTAACAAATTTACTTCCATAATCCATATGTTCAAGGGAAGGGGGCTGCAGCTAGCCTGTAGGGTTGCCCGCACTGTAAATTGCATTTTTTCATTCTTTTTATAAAGCACAATTACCAAGCAAATATGTGTCACATGATCAGAATTGGTCTTGGGAGAGGGAGCTCATTGCCGGTGGGTGGATTTGTGACAAAGTGTCATCATTATCTGATTATCATCATCTAAGCCTTATCCCAAGTCCTAACTATATGGGATTGGCTACATGAACCCTGTTTCACCATTCTGTTTTGTTTATCACAAAAAGATAATTTAGGACCCATAAGAGTTTGGGCAAAAAGTTTTAAATACCAGCTTCCTCCCGATGCAACCCTCCTTTGTCCGGACTTGAGACCAGCAGTGTAAGACAAGCTCACACTGGCAGAGTAATTTGTAACAAAGTGTAATTCATAAAATAAAGGCGCCATGCCTTAAGCTGTACTCTACTGTTTCTCAATTGTTCATGGGAGTGAGGGCCTGTTTGTTTCCTCTTAACTCTTATCTCTTAAGAGGAATCTTTTGACTTTAAGAGAAAAATGGTTGTTCGTTTCCTCTTATCTCTTATCTCTTAAAGTGCAATCATACAACTTTTTTGTTTTCCAATGATGCCCCCAAAAAGACAAACAAAAACTCTCATATATGGGGTCAAAATGGATATTTGATAATTTTCAAAATTTAGAATTCAGAATTCAAAGCAACATTCTCTGCATTCAGTGTTCAGAGGAAAGAAAAGTTCATCAATACCAATATACCTCTTAGTGTAATTATTGCACTTTCAGATGTTAGACTTCAGAGCAAACGAACATGCCCTGAGTTTTCTCTGACCATTTTATTAATGAATTATCAAGTGTGTCATTGATCAAGCATACATACAGACACATGTATTTTTAAAGCCTCAAATATTTGATATGAAGAGGCAGCTAGCTTAGTTTTATTTATAAATTATAATATTCTGTGGGGGATATAAAAGCCTTACCCTTCAACAAACTTTATTTAAGAATTAACAAACACCAAAATATATAATGAATATCACAACACCCATGCTGGTTAGTCCCCAAAACCCAAACCAAAGAAACAGACTGAACAATTTCATGCAGTATTGGTTACAATGGCGTACTGAAAAAGAGATAGCAGATGGTTCATCATCATCATCATCTAAGCCTTGCCCCAACCATATGGGTTTGGCTACATGAATCTTGCTTTGCCATTCCATTCTGTTCGGTGCTATATCCATTGTTAAATTATGGGCACCTAAATCAGTTCTTATTACTTCCACTCAAGTTCTTTTTGGTCTGTCCCTAGCTCGTATAGTCCCTTCAACTTGTAATAGATCATTTTTTTCTAACGGGTGCTGTAAATGGTCTTATGCATGTAATAATACCATCTCAATCTACTTTCTCTCATTTTATCACATATTGGAGCTATTCCTAGAATCCTACATATGACTTCATTTTTAACCCAGTCCTAGTTTTACCACTCATCCATCTAAGCATTCACATTTCTGTAACTCGTTTTTTTTTTGGATATGCTGTTTCTTAACAGCCCCACACCCTGCTCCATACAACATATCTGGCCTTACAACTGTTTTGCAGAATTTTTCTTTTAGCTGAAGTGGTGTTCACCTATCACATAAGACTCCAGATGCACTCCTCCAATTTTTCCAATCCTGCTATAATTCTATAGGTGACATCCTCCTCAATCTCTCCTTTGTTCTGAATTATTGAACCAAGGTAACAGAAGAGGTCACATTGAGTTCTCTCTTGGTCTCCGCTCCCAAGTGTACCCTGATTTGCACTCTTTACTGCATATATTCTGTTTTAGCAGATAGTTACTTAGAGTTTTTTTTTTTTTTTGATCAGCAACACAGAAAAGGAATTACTTAGAGATAATCCCAACCTAACATACAAACAATTTCTTCCAGCACAGGTTTTCTTCAAGTTTTTATCAGATGAGCAAGAAATTTTATTGAATTCATCTTAAAGAAAAAATATACAACAAATATAGAACCACAGCTCTTCCTTTATGAGTACAATTAAACCTTCGTGTTCATCCACCCTACCCTTAAGTAGCAAGCCCCAGTACAGGTCCCCCTGTTAAACTCTTCCCTAACAAAGGATGAAGGGAATTAACTAAAGGCATTAGCATTTCTTATCGGTCTGAATGAGATATTCAAACCACTTGGCACTTGCTAAAAAAAAACACCAGCTCCAACCATGTGTGATTCAAAGAACAACATAACTTGATCCTTGTAGAACAGATAGCAACTCTGCCCTGATAGATTTTCTATATCCTACCTGAGACCACCAAGATGATTTTCCTATTAAGATTTCTTACTATTATGCCCATCCCTGAACTCCCCAGGTTAACTATATAGAAGCTATTAAGGTTTTATTTAAGAGATCCCCAAGGGTGTCAGACCCAATCAATAAGGATGATAACTCTTCTAGTAAGGAGATCATAACTCCTCTGGTAGAGAAAGAAGCAACCAAATGCCAATTTCTGATGATATCATTAGTGCTTGAGTCCTTGGATTCTTCTCTTGTCTTCACCCAATGTGCTACTGTGATTGTGACTGTCAACCAATGCTTCCTGACTTCTAATTTTGCCAGCAAAGATCCATGCACTTCTTCCTTCCCAAATGGATCAAAAAAAATGGCTGCTTTAGTGCATCTTCTCATAATCTTTCACCTTTTAGTTTGGTGGGAGAACTGTGGTCTGAAATGCTGCTGTACCTCCTATGGCTGCTGGCTCAACCAATTTTACTGTCAAACTGCAAAGTCTACAAATTTTAGCATGTAAAATTTTCTAGGTTAGACCAACCAGACCAGTATGAAAGCCAGGTTTTTTTCTATCTTTGGGTAATCAAGAAGGAAATTCTACACCAAATAAGGGGTAGCATGACCGAAATATCCATACTACAAATATATTGAAGTTCCCACGGGAAGTTATGAGTGTACATCCTATATCCCCCAGGAAAGCCAGTTTCTCAGCCTGGCAAACTAATCTTCAATTGGTTTTAGTACATTACTGCTGTCATGGCTGGGAGTAATAAGTGAGATAAAAGAAGCGTATCTTGCAGTGGATGGTCTCTTTTGCACAACACCAATTAAGTTGGCAATGTTGCACAAGAAAGCACAGGAGTAAATGCCATCATGTAGGTAGAACGCTTGAATTTCCAACCCTATTTGAAGTTTAAACAGCTCAAACATATTTTCTTTTGTTTTTTTTTTTTTTTTGTTTGAGAAAGGGTAAAGGATAATTGTACTAATCAATCAGTCCTTTGTAGTTTGTACAATGAAAAGCAATCAGATGGATCCTCTTTAAAACCTGTGTGTATAGATAACTAACTCCTAACAAACTCTATAGCCATGTTGATGACCTCAGCTTCGGAGGAGGCTTTGTGATCGAAAATCCTACTGTTCCTTTCCGTCCACAGTGCCCACAGAATTGCCAAAGGAATAGAGGACCAGCAAATTTTCCCTTTCTTTGTCATCCCTGGTATATGCCAGATGTAAATCAGTCCTTTAATATCAAGATTAAACTTAGTGATTAGCAGAATAAAACAGGTCTGAATAACTGTACAAGAGAAGAAGATGGCGAAGAAAAGAGGTAAGAGAAGAAGGAGTCGAATGATTCTCCATTCTCCTCTAACCCTATTTTATTAAGATCTAAAAATTTGATGATGACAAGAATGCCCTTAAGTGGGCGGCCAGCTTGGCAGTTACATAAAGAAAAATAAAACAAGAATAAATAACAGGCCCATTAAGTGTGGCCCATCAACATAAAATAAAAGATATTACAAGAGAGGCTGTTAGGGCCCATTCGGCCCAGTCTCTTTACACTCCCCCTCAAACTGCATAGATGTCAATCATGCCCAGCCTGCTTATATAGTGTGTCAATTTTCCCTTTGGAACTCCCCTTGGTCAAGATATCAGCCAATTGCTCTTCTGATGTGATGAATGGTAAACAAACTTCTCTTGAAAAAACTCTTTCCCATATGAAATGCCTATCAACCTCAATGTGCTTAGTTCTATCATGTTGAACAGGATTATGTGCAATGTTGATAGCAGYTTGGTTGTCACAATAGAGCATCATTGGTTTCTCGTAGTCCACCCCCAATTCCTCTAGAAGGGATCGTAACCATAGTAATTCTAACACACCATGAGCCATTGCCCTGTATTCTGCTTTAGCTGGGGATCTAGCAACTACTGATTGTTTCTTACTCCTCCAAGACACAATATTCCCAGCAACCAGAGCACAATAACCAGAGGTGGACCTTCTGTCATCAATACATCTTGCCCAATCTGCATCAGTAAAGGTTTCAAGCTTCAGTGACCATGCTTAGCAAATAGAATACCTTTCCCTAGAATACCTTTCAAGTAGCACAGAACCCTTTCTACAGCAGCTAGATGAGTATCTCTGGAGAATGCATAAACTGACTAATAACACTTACTGCATAGGAAATATCTGGCCGAGTCATGCAAAGGTATAACAACTTCCCAAGCAGTCTCTGAAACACTCCCTTATCAGACAAAGGTTCACCATCTGTGGCAGAAAGCTTATGATTATGATCAATGGGAGTGGAGAT